TGATGTCCGCATGGGTCTGAAATGCCCAGTCGCCAAGCAAGCGCGGCAACCAGAGCTTAAATTGAAATAACTGCTCATCTGTAAAAAGAGAACGAGAGCTACAAACTTGATTATTGAGTAATAAACACAATCCACGTGTATTTGTGCGAGATTCCCCGCTTTTTATATAGTTTGGTCAGGTACGCGTATGTGAGGTTTAACATAATTCTGAGGGCTTATTCTCGCGTGTTTTATAGAGGTTCAGCGCTTCACGCGTACCAAGCTGAAAAGCTGTGCGGGGACACAGCCTCTCCAAACCTTCCCTCCTGTGTTATCTTGGGCGTCAGTACAACACGTATTAACGGAATGCCGCTGAGACCGACCTCCTCGTTCACCGCGCGTTTCAGAAGGCACCCGGTCTGCATATCTGACCAGAGATTAGGGGCAGGCTGCATCAATGGGCTCAGGCGCACGTTTACAGAAAGCCCCAGCGGTCAGGCGTGGGGAGACTTCTCTCGGGATGCTAAATTTGGCCACAGCCGCCGATGAGCACATAAAAGGGAAGGCGGATAGGGATAGGCATTTTCAGAGCCAAGGGGATCACCGAGCCTGGACAGCACGCACACACCAGCGTTGCATGCGCCCCTACAGGCACACAACGGCCCCCCGATAATTAATCTTTATCAGCGCGACCGATCTGGGCCCTGCCCCCGAGATAAAGCCAGCCGGCCCGGGCTCCCGCCTCTCTGCGCTGCCGGAGAATTAGTGCGCGGTTCATTTTGGGGGAACGTCTGTCATCATCCCGCTATCTTTGGACTTTGTCCTCGGCCAGAAATAGACTTAATTAGAGCAGGGCGTCTGACAGAGGAAGGGCGAAAACGTGTCGGACTGCGAGTGCGCTCCGAGGCGAGCCCCTCCCGACACTGTCCAGCGCAGAACAACCCCACCTCCCCCTCGCCGATGTCCTCGTCTTTTCTTTCCGCCCATTAGCGACAGGGCGCAGCGACGGCAGCGAGCCTGAGCCCGGCGGGAGCGCGTGGCCCCGGAGACTTCCCAGCGCCCCCGGCGGGTAGAGAGAGAGAGAGAGAGTATATGTCAATATTATATAATATGTCTTTGTTGTAAATGTCTGTAACATGTCTGTAGATTTTATTTTACTTCTATTTTTTGTTTTGTTCTATGTTAATTTTAATATTTTTATTTGCTTTGGCAACACTGATTGTACCTATCGGTCATGCTAATAAAACACCTTGAATTGAATTGAATTGAATTGAGAGAGAGAGAGAGAGAGAGAGAGAGAGAGAGAGAGAGATGCCGAGATGGTCACGGCCGCACATCCACCGGGCGCACCCCCTCCTCCGCAGCGCAGAGCGGATCTCCGGAGCGACGGTGCAGTGTTGCTCCTCTCCTTGGCAGCCCTGTCTGGCGTGCTGTAGGGCCCAAAATTCAAAAATCGATGCCCCCCCCTCTCCCTCCCCACAGCTCAGTTCACACTCCACTGGCGAGCTGCCTACCGTGGAGAGTTGATTTGGGGTCACATTTTAGACACAAATCTCAGTTATGTCCACTTTCTCCCAGTCCTCTTTGCCCTCTGAACAACAACAGTTACTTTTTTTAAGTACACTGGGGTGAGGACATGAAAAGAGTGTGGTTATGTTTTCTGCCTGTCTTCCACTGAGTGTTTGGGAAACAGTGCAGAATTATTTTAAACAGGGGAACAGAAGACATGTCTTTACCCAAAGGGTGGCGGGTGTTTGGAACAAGCTTCCTAGACAATACCCTGGCCTCTTTCGAGAAACAGCAGTCTAATTTTTACACAAAGGGTGGTGGGAGTATGGAGCAAGCTGCCCAGCCAAGCTCTTGAAGGCAGTTACCCTGGCTTCATTCTGGACCAATTAGCTACTAATTACCTAATTTTCTTATGTGCTGTTCCTCAGCCACCCAAACCTTCAAGCTGCCAGCAGTGGCCAAGCAGTCCAGTCTTTGGTCAGGTCCTTAAGGAACAAGGGCTCGGCTCAGGCAGGGTCAGCCCTGGCTTTCTCCCTTCCTGCGCCAGGATCTAAGAAAGGATCCTGCTCTGCGCCGCTTCTCTTTCCACCTGAACAGAGGAGGCCACGCGGTGAGAGGTGTGAGTGGGGGAAGATATTGGGGTTTAAAATATCGACAGAGCCAAAACAGTAGACAGCAGTTCACCACTGCTGCGCTGAAGAAAGGACCTGAAGACGCAGCCGAACAGGGTGCGTATCTGGGACTGCGAGCTGAAATTTCCAGAGGGTGGAGAATGTTTCGAACCAGCTACCCAACCACATTGTGGAAGCTGGTTCGGTGGTTTCATTTCCAGTAAAGCTCCCAGCGAGCGAAGCCCATTCTGAGCATCTTCCCCGACGGGGACGGCTCAGGGCTGCCGGCGAGCGGGGTCTTCCGGGGGCAGCGCACTTTTCCTGGAGCTGCCGTGACGTGGGTGTTGGAGGCACGTGACATTAAAAACACACCTGGAAATGTGACAGTTAGATGCAGGACAGACGTAGGAGTCACCTCCTCTTTGCACAAAGGGTGGCAGGTGCCTGGAGCGAATCTAGGTTGGGAGGTGGCGGGGGGGTGTTGTGTAAATGCATAGATTGAACCTGCGACACGGGCTGATTGGCCAGCAACACTGGCTCGGCAACGTTGTGTCACGCCCTCTGCAGCCAGAGGGCGCTCCTTCTCTGTCCTGTCCCTAGTTTCCGGTCTGCTGTCCTTCCTGTCCCTCTCTTTCCCTTGGGCTATATATTTCCGGGTCTTGCACTCTGTCCTGGCTCAGCATTGACGTTCGGATGTCCTGAGACCCGCCTAGCACCAGGGCGCCCCACGTCTGCTCCCTGAGGGCATAGGTTTCTATACGGCATTCCTGAACTCTTTGCACTAATGAGCCCGGGCCTCCCCGTCTCGCCGCTACGCATATGGGTCTTTTTCCGCTCTCCTGCTCCCCACGGTTTGTCCCTTTGGACGGCCGTGACACGTTGCCCGGTTTCGGTCTCTTCCTGCACTTTTGCCTATACAGCATCCTGCTACCTGCATGACCTCAGCCAGGTCAGCCCCTGAGCCACAACACCCCCCCCCCCCACAGCTATGGCCGACACTCCCCCTGAAATCTAAGCTTGGCATCCATGAGGATTCCCTGTACAGCCGTCTGATCACGTACCAACCTGCTTCCTTCTTCTGTTTGTGGGAGGAGTCCAGAGCAATCAGGCCGCCAGAAAACTTAACAAAAAAAAAAGCCCAGGTTTAATGACTTTGACCTGAGGTCAGCGATGGAGGGGCACGGGCTGTAATTACCGTGCCCAAGAGCACAGCCACCCATCCCCGTCCGTCCGTCCGCGCGTGAACACACACACACACACACGCTCCTAATGAACACAGCGGAGGGGGCTCCTGCTATATAAACACACCCTGCCTCCTGGTGTATAAATTCGCTGCATGGGCGGCACAGAGGGGCACAGCTCTAGAGCGAGCCCCCGGCCTGCCCACGACTGCCAAGCTTCGCCCATCCCGACTGACAAGACCAAGGTAGGGGCTCTCTCCCTCTCCACTCCCCCCTCCCCGCCTCCCGCCTGGATCCTCTGCCGAGCCAGAGAACCGCAATTTCTTTCAGGTTTCAGCACCGTTTGGAAGAGGTTCGTGTCGCCAGTTAACCAGAGAATTACGCTAGTGGCATCCAGCAGGGAATACGGCCCGGAATCCTGGTGTCTCTGATGGCTCCGAAATGCCACCGCAAAGCATTTTCGGAGCAGCTCTGCACCTGACATCCAGGTGTGCTCCTGTTCCCCAGATGCAGCCCAGATGTCTGCTGCAGATCCTGGTGCTCTGCCTGCTCCTGGAGGAGGTCTCAGCCTTCCTGCTGCCCGACGGCGTCAGACAGGTGAAGGAAATAAAAAAAACAGGTGCTTTTGACACAGCCGCACCAGGATGGCCGGCCGAATAAAATCAGATGAGCGCGGAGAGACCTCATCGCTCTGCTCTGCCAGAGCGGTGGACGCTTAGTACTGTCTTGTTTCTGTTCCATTGAATAGCATGTGCGTGTTGGTGAGATATTTAGCATTCCTTAAAGAAAAGTGGTTTAGTCTTTTCCACATGCACAGATTTTAAAGGGTATTTAGCTCTTGCGGACTGATTCTGGTTAGGCAGTCAGGTTCCTTGCTTCGGGATCTGAATTGAAAATACTTGATTGTTTTATGCAATACAGCACTAGACTCTAGGAGACTGTGTATGTGCAGTTATATGGCACTAGACTGCAGGAGACTGTATGTGCAGTTATAGGGCACAGGACTGTAGGAGACTGTGTATGTGCAATAATACGGCACTAGACTGTGGGAGACTGTGTAAGTGCAGTTATATGGCACAGGACTGTAGGAGACTCTGTATGTGCAGTTATGAGAGGTCTCGTTGGTGACAGGAGTCTCTGCAACCACTTCCCTAGCTCAGGAAGTCTAGCTTTTACTGATCAGTGTGGTCTGCACTTAGCAGCTTGCGAACAATACTTTCATAAAATATAAAGAAAAAGGTATTGGGATGTTTGGGGAATCTTCGGACTGTCTTTGTGCTACTGCATGAGTTCCCCTGGCCAACTGTTTGTGCATATGTGTGGTGTGTGATATATTGTGTGTGTGCATGCTTGTGTCCATGTGTGTGTGAGCATATGCGCGTGCATGAGAGTGTGCAAGTGTATGATGTGTGTGCATGCTTGTATTCCTGCGTGTGGTGTGTGTGATGTGCGTGCATGCTTGTGTCTGCGTGTGGTGTGCGTGTGCATGCTTGTGTCCGTGCGCGTGGTGTGTATTCATGGTCGTGTCTGTGCACGCTCGTGTCCGTGCATGTGGTGTGAATGAATGCTCGTGTCTGTGTCCGTGTGTGTGGTGTGTGTGCGTGCTTGT